TGATATTTTAGGGTGTAAACTTTGAAATAGTGATAGTTCCGGGTTGCATGTTACAATTAGCTCGAAAATGTGGCAGATCGTTTGGTTCCGCTTGTCACGGCTTGATAAAGGCTACGCTTCTTAGTTCCTGCAAACCATCTTCCATCAACATACCTTTTCTTGACAAGCCTTTTTTTTTTTTTTTTTTTCTTGAAGAAATTTGACTTCCAAGAACAGAGAGAGAGAGAGAGAGAGAGAGCAGGAGACAAAAAATGAATCGAGCTTCTATTGATTCCGTCACTGATCAACTCTCAAGGCTGTTGTGCCTGCCAAACTTGCATTTGCACATGAAGCAGCAAATTCAGAGCCTTCAACTGGAGCTAAGGTTCGTGAAAATGTTCTGCTGCTGCTTGAAAAACTGGATGGCAGCTGCTGATCATGAGAACATGCATTTGGGATCAGTACGAAACAGTACCGAAGGCACTGTGGAAGCATCAGGAAAGGGGCTATACAATGCTGGTTATCGTGCAATAATTGGAAAAGATTTCAAAGATTGGGAACTCCTGGCATCTAATATGCTAAGAGAAGTTGAGAAATGTAAGCCAACAATCAGAGAAACTGCCGTTTCTTTATTTGATCTTTCATCCCAATTCATAGCTTTCAGGGCTGTTGACGAGATCCTGGATTTCATTGATACCATTTTAATGAATTTGAAGGATCTTGTCAGCTTGAAAGATGAAGTGATTATTGGTTCAGTGAAGGAGCAGATCGAAGCACTCGAAGGTAAGCTGAGGTTTCTCAGAAACTTCGTTGACTTCGCAGCAAGAAGATGTAGCAAGCAGGACAGAATGGAGGATTTCTTGACTACCCATGTTCAAGCATGGGCAAGAAACTCTGCTTGTTTGTCACTGCTATGTTGGACAGATAGCATGAACAAAGACAAGGAACCCCAGAGGAATGCTATGCTTCCTCAGTTGCTACTGAAGATCATGCCTTGTAGTCAAGCAGTTGCAGAGATGTATCTTGAACTCCTGAAGTCAACGCCATCTGACACTCTTTTAATGGGTGAAATTGTTTCTGGCTTTGTCGATTCTCTCCTAGGAAATGCAGGCATATCTTTAAAGGTTGATCTTGCTATCCTTCGAGAAGGGCTCCTGTTTGCGTTAACATTTCTGGTGGATCCCCCAAAAGAGTCGGCAAGAAAAACTGAGTTTGCTGATATGGTTGAGAGTTTGGTGATATCTGTCATTTGCTCTCTTCATGTTGCTCAAACTGAAGATGGAACTACCAAGGCAAGAAATGATAATCTGTCTGATTTTCTGGAGAAGATAGAGAAACTCAAGGCAGAGGTCTGGGAGCTTTTTATCGCCATGCCAAATTCATCGGAGTCTAATTTTCCCAGGACTAATGGAATGGGATTTATTGATTTCCTCATGGGAAACTTGAATGACATGATGCAGTACAAGGCCAACCATATTCCTTTTGCGGAGCATAAAGTTATGGCAGTTCTCGAGGAGCTGTCATGCTTTAGGTCCTTTCTTCAGGATGCAGAGAACGTGCAAAATGACTATCAGGAGGTGAATGCTCTGCAGACACGGATTATCAATCTGGCATACCAGGTGGAAAATGTAATGAATTCATGTGCTATTTCAGGTATTCCTATTTGGCATCAGATTATCTGCTTCTCTGATATCCAGGAAGAAATCAAGTTTTGCGGGACTGAGATCATGACCATGAAGCAGAAATACAATATTGGGAAGCAAATTGCTGTGACAACTTCCAAGCTTGCCCATTCATCACGAGGTAATAATTCAAAATTTGATGAAGATGTTGTGGGATTCAAGGATGAGGCGAATCAGATAATTGATTTGCTTACAAGTGGATCGAAGAACCGAGAGATTGTCTCAATTGTTGGAATGCCAGGTGTAGGTAAGACCACTCTAGCTAGGAAAATTTATAATGATCCTTCAACCACATCTTACTTTCACGAACTTGCCTGGTGTTATGTTTCGCAAGTATATACAAGCAGAGACCTATTACTTGCCATTTTAAAGTGTCTTAGTGTCAGTATTGATGATGTTAAGCTCTCAAAGATGAGCAATGAAGATCTGGAGGAACAGCTCAGGAGATGCTTACTGAAACAAAGGTACCTCGTGGTAATGGATGACATTTGGGATATTAAAGCTTGGAATGTTGTAAAACAGTCACTTCCAGATGATGGAAATAGAAGTAGAATTATTTTCACGACTCAAAATCACCATCTTATATCAGATGATGAAGGAAGTGGCAAAACTTATCTGCTTTCTCCACTGATTGAGGAGAAACCTTGGGAGTTTTTGCAAGAGAAGATATTTCACAAAGATGCTTGCCCTCAAGAACTATTGGAAATTGGAAAGAGAATTGTGGAACATTGCGAAGGATTACCCCTGGCAATAACTGTTATTGCAGGTCTTCTTGCAAAGGAAAAGAAGAATGTAGGATGGTGGAAGCAAGTAGAAGCAAGCTTAAGTTCTGACTCGACTACAAAGGGATACATGGGCGCTATAGAACTAAGCTACAAGCATTTAATGGATTATCTAAAGCCTTGTTTCCTATACTTTGGAGCATTCCGGAAGGGTGAAGTAATTGGTGCCAGAAAGTTGACCCTGTTATGGAATGCCGAAGGCTTTGTAAACAGAAACCAGAGGAGTTGCTTCGAGGTCGTGGCAAAGGAGTACTTGAAGGAGCTTAACGATCGAAGTCTAGTTATTGTTTCTGAAAGAAGCTTCAATGGGGGGATAAAAGCATGTCGCCTCCATGATCTGCTACACAAATTTTGCTCAAAAAAAGCAAAAGACGAAAAGTTTTTACATGTGCTGGAACGGTCAGAGGATTCTGATCATATCCTTAATCCTGTAAAGCATGATCAATATCGATTATGCATTCATGCGGAATCCACAGCTTCTGGAAGTTTGAAACCCGCTTGTCAACGTGTGAGTTCTCTGCTCTTCTTTCGGAAAAGGGATGGTTACTTTTATGATGATGATGATAGCTATGCTTCCAATTTCTCCCCTGACTTCTTAGAAAGTTGTAAACTTATTAAAGTTTTGGATTTGAAGAGTGTCTACTTGCATTCTGGCTTCCCGAAAGAAATTGTATCAATGGTGCATTTGAGATATGTATCAATTGGTGGTAGTTTTACAGAAGTTCCAGCTTCAATAGCCAACCTCTGGAACCTGGAAACTTTTGTTGTGGCAAGTACAAAAACCATTTATTTGCCGGATACATTTTGGAGGATGAAAAATTTAAAGCACGTAGATGTCAGTGAAATGGCAATCATCTCTTTAGGGGAGTATGAGGTTGAGGATTCCTGTCAAATGGACAATGTGGAGACTTTTTCTTCACTTGCTTTCACTCAAGGAGGAAATACGGAGAAGCTGTTGAGGAGGTTTAGGAGACTTCGGAAGCTGAAATGTGAAATTGTGGAATCAAAGAAGTGCAGAAGGAAAGGAATTCAGTTCCCAGCACTGGCCTCCTTGGAAGATCTTGAGTCACTGAAAGTGTCTACCAATGGTTCTCATGACCAAGTGTTTTATAGTTGGATGCGGATTCAGTTTCAGGCATTCAACTTCCCCACAAAGCTGAAGAAACTAACCCTCTGTAAACTTGGTCTACCATGGACTGCCATATCGACAATTGGGGAGCTACTCCATCTTGAGGTACTCAAGTTGCGGGAAGGAGCCTTTAGGGGACAAAGATGGGATGTGGGAGATGAGGAATTCTTAGAGCTTAAGTTCTTGGAATTATCAAACATGGACGTTGTACTCTGGAAGGCCTCCTATACACCGTTTCCTAAACTTGAACAACTTGTCATTGAAGATTGTTCTGATCTTGAGGAGATCCCATTCAGTTTTTCAGAGATTGAAGGCTTGAAGTTGATTCAATTGAGGAGGTGCAGCTATGATGTAGAAGATTCCGCTCAGCAAATTCTCCAGGAACAGAGGGATTCAGGAAATCCGGAATTTGATGTACTTATCTTACATTGATTTCGAGATGCAGAATATCTATGCACTCTTATTACCTGTAAGTAAATTAAAGTTCATAGTCTTTTCTTCTTTTACCTCTTTCTTTGGCCACTGCATTCATGTTTTCATTTAGTTAAGAAATGAGCAACACTATCCCATATTATTGAGGGCCAAGTAACTTTCATCTTACTACTGCTTCAAAGATGAAAAAATTAGCAGTACATGTATAATTTTGCTTGTTTCCCTTATAAATTAATAGTTTGGATTTATTAACTCTTGAAATCTAATGAAGATTGTATATGATATTATGCAGAATTTACTTGAACAATTTTAAAAGCTAACACTCTAAATAAATTAACAATTTCCTTGCAGAATTATCATGATGGATCAAGGGGTGATCAACGACCTGAAACCATAAAATTCTGTTCAATTGATTTGAGTCTGCACCTATTTAACTAAGCCAATTGAAAAGACTACTCACTGTGACAGCTTGTGGAATTCAGTAACTACCCCCTTTGAAGTAACTAGAAGGCCAAACAGAACACCATTGCTTGAGATTTATGTGTAATTTCTCACTCTGTATTTATTTATTATATGGTTACAGATGTTTGAAGTCAAAATCTCTGTTGATCCATCGAATTTCATGGTTGTTGGATTTGGATATGCTGTCATGGCTTTATATGCACTAAGTAAGATGGTTATCAAGATTGTATCATATTTGGACAAGATTTCAAGCATATTGTTCACTTGTCAGATGGTAAACTTCTAGTGTTCCGAACATCTGTGTGGATTACTGGTAATGTTGTTCAGATATAATCTATTTGTATACATACCATTCTGGGACAATTGTAATCTTACACTCTTGTACTACTATGTAACAAAGAAAGAGGAACAGGAAGGAGTTTATGTTTACAATTCCAACATATCACATAATTGGTGGTACAAAGGCAAGAAGGGAATTAATCTTTCCTTTCATGCTTTCTAGAGGGGAAATATGGTATGTATAAGTAGTAAAAATCATTGTATGTCTGTTACTGAAATAAAATCTGTATGAGAAGCTATCAGCATGCAGATCATGCAAGACTGCATCTCACTTAAGCTGGAGGACAATGAACAATTGCGTGCCTTCCTTGAACCCTGATTCCAAGCACAGTGAAATATCTGCAGTTTTCTTTATAGTCCTTTTGAACATTTCATTGGATCATGAATCTTGGACCTAGGATCCGTCACCTCCATGCTTTCAATACTGAAACAACCATTTATCTTCACCAGCGAAGCCATCTCCTTTGGAGATGCAGAATAAATTGGTAAGTTGAAGGAATCGATTTGAGCTTCATTGAGGATTCCCTGTAAACCGAGAAATTAAAGGTATCAATCAATAATATCACATCAAGTATATCCACTTATTTGATTAAAATTTGGAAATTGTAAGGCTCATGTCCAGTGGAATCTCTTAGCAATTTACTGCAGCAACTGGCAAAGTGGTCCGCGGATTATTTGTATTTGAGGTTCTCCCTGGTTCTCATTCAGTTTCATCATTAATCTAGTACGTAAAGCAGATAGCTCTACTTCCATTCCTCTACCAAGCATCCCCTCAGAATTAGGAGCTTAAGCACATCCACATCTAGATTTTTGAATGACTAGTTTGTCTCACCTCATTAGCCCTATCCACAAGACTGGATCCAAGGAAGTTGAACAGAATGCCAGCAGGTAGCTCGGAAGGGTGCACCTCGTCAGGGATACCTGGTATGATAAGTACAATCATGCCTTCTGGTACGATCTCTTTAGCTCTTGCATTTAGGAAAATCCCCATATCCTTTTCAAATTGAGCTGCATAAGCATTGACTACTTCATCCGAGGCACCTGCACAGTGTATTTTCCCCTTATTCCAAGAAGAATTTTGGTCAAGCAACTTTTCTGGCACCTTAGAGAGCCAGTGCAGTGAATAAGACGAATGTGCAAAATGGATGGAAGATGATGGAAACAGCTGATCATAGAAGGTGCCTGGCACTCCTGCTGAAAAGTATTGCCTTTCAAGTGGGAGAGAAGTGAAAAGGGTGTTGAAATCATTGGATGCATGATCATTGAAGAACACCTGAAATTCAAGCTTATGCGAACCATCATATTCAGATTTGTGCTTGTTTTCTATGGCATCTATTATGTTTTGCACAGCAAAGAAAGTATTTGGCCCAACTGAGCATCCCAAGTCTGCGATACAGAGTCTATTAGAGGCAGAACTCAGGCTCTTGGTGTCAAGCTTCTCAACAATTGCCTCTTTGATCATTTCTCTGGCAACATTTGACGTATCCCTCTGTAAACTTTGAACACACGTCAAACAGCTTGCTGTTTCACGTCAAACATTTGTCCACAGGCAAGACTCTAAAGCTAAAACTTGAATTCGTTCCTGTTACAGTAATACCATCATTGTGGGAGAATTTGAAGTGATTTGGGGATGCTGAATCTCCAACATCTCCAACGTGTTGATATGTTAAAGGACATTAGGTTGAAGTTTTTATTGGAGGTTGGAGATAAGGTTTTGCATTCCCTCAATATGATTTTGATGAACAGGTTGATTATGTCTAATCCCACCCATTCTATATGATTCTGGTTGAAGAAAATAGATGTATTCATGTAGTAAGATGACTTTTTGAGTTTAACGACAAAAGTGTTTCTTTAAAATGTACTAATAACTTGTGATGAGAATTGAATGTCTTCTCAAGTATACAAAAATGAGAAACAACATATTCATATGGCATAGGATCAAATTCTCAATCAACAATTGGTTAAGTGTGTTATACTTCTATCTGGCTCGCTCTCAGTTTCTTAACAATTTGCTAATTTTAGGATGTTGACGTGGTCTAGCAGTGATTTAGTTCTGCTCTTAACTTTGTCTTAGAAAAAAAAAATCTCAGATGAGCATTTTAATGAGCTTTGGTTAATTAGTAGTATTAACCTCTAAAATCTCTAACAGAATAAAACGTTGCTTCATGAGCAACTTGTTTCCAAAAATCACGCATCTTTGAAGATATCAAAAGAAACTTTAGAATATCATCATTAGTAGGACTCAACAAGGTAACCACTTCACTAGCCTGAGTTTCACATCTCATTTGCAGGATTCCCCAAAATCTCAAAGAGAGAGCAAAAAATGGATTGCACTTGTGTTGATTCTGCCATTGACCAGCTATCAAGGCTACTGAAAAGACCATCCTTGACTTTGCTTATGAGGCAGGAAATCCGTACCCTTTTACTGGATTTAAGATTTCTGAAAATGTTCTTCAGTTGCTTGGCAAAGTGCAAGGCTGCTGAGGAGGACACCACTTTGCATCATTTGAGATCATCTCTCCTGACGAATGCTGAAGCTATGATGGAGGAAACAGGACAGGACCTCTATGATGCTGGTTATTTTGCATCCATTGGAATAGATGTGAAATATTGGAACCTTGTTGCAGCTAAGTTGCAAGAAAAAGTTGAACATCTCAAGCCAGAAATCAGGAATACTTGTATTCTCTTGGTAGATTGCTCTTTAGAGCTCAAGACTTCTAACAGTGGTGGTATCCTGGAATTTATGGATTCTATCCTGATGAATCTGGAGGATCTTGTCAACTCTCGTGATGGTATTTTTGTTCCTGTGAAAGTGCAAACAGAAGCCCTTCAAGAGAAGCTAAGGTTCTCCAGAAACTTTCTTGACTTCACGAAAAAATGGTGTTGTAGGCAGGAGCAGGACAAACTGGAAGCTTTCTCGACTGTTCTTCGAGATTGGGCTAAAAATACAGCGTGTTTGTCTATTCTGTACTGGATAGATGGTGTAGATGAAAACATGGGAGCTTAAATCAATACTATGCTTCATAAAATGCTACAAAAGATCATGCCTTACAGCCCCAAGGTTTTGGACATATATCTTGAACTCCTGAAAGCTTGTAAGTCATCAAAAGCTGATAAAAGTGTGATGGGTGAAATAGTTACAAGCTTTATCGATGTTCTTCTAGAAAATGCAGTGGTTGCTGTAAAGGATCATATTGAAGATCTACAGGATGGGCTAGTTCTCTTGATAACATTTATCATGGACCCGCCAGAGGAGTTTGGAAGAAAATCGAGAACTGTAATCTTCACCCAGATTTATGCACTCATCAGAGAGATGACATTTTTCATTTGCTCACTTTGCAGTGATAAAATGAATGATGACACTTCCAGGGAAAGAAATACTTTGCTTCCTGATTTACTCAAAAAGATTAAGGAAGTTGAGGCAGAGGTCAGAGAGCCTAATGGCAAGAAGCCTAGTTCATGGCATTTTGATTTCCCTGTGACGGATGCAATTGGATTCATTGATTTCCTCTTGGGGAATCTGAATAAAAGTTTGAAATACATTGCCAACTTCATTCCTTTTGCAAAGCATAAAATTGTGACTATTCGTCATGTTCCTTAGGCCTTTCCTCGAGGATATTATGGAGCTGCAAACTGAGTCTGTTGAACTAAAAGATCTATGGACATGAATTATCAATGTGGCATACCTGGCAGAACATGTCATCAACTCATGCGCAACTACTGAAACTCCTATTTGGAGCAATATTTGGAGCAATATAATATGCCTTTCTGATGTCACAGATGAAATTAAGCATATCCAAGCCGATGTCATGAAGATAAAACAGAACCAGATATCCAGCACAAGAAATCCTAGTATTCAGAAGAGTTACAGTTTCGGTCGACCACGAGCTAGTATTTCAAGTACTGATGAAGTTGTAGGTTTGGTGGAAGATGCAAAAGCTGTACTAGACAAACTTACAAGAGGATCAATGAAGCTGAACATTGTTTCTATTGCTGGCATGCCGGGTGTAGGTAAGACGACTCTGGCAATGAAAGTCTATAATGATCCTTCAGTTCAATGTTACTTTATTAAACGTGCTTGGTGTTATGTATCACAAGTATACAGAAGAAGAGATCTGTTATTTGATATTTTGAGGAGCGTTATTGGTATTGATCAGGTTGAAATCTCTAAAAAGGATGATGATGAAATAGCTAATCAACTCCGACAAAGTTTAAAAGGACAAAAGTACATAATTGTTATGGATGATATCTGGAACCTTGGGGCTTGGGATGCTGTAAAATATTCACTTCCAGATGATAGCAACGGAAGTAGAATTTTGTTCACAAGTCGGAATCACAAGTTGGCTGAAATGTCTGGACTTCCGTTCCATGTTCATCCCCTTAATGAACTTTCTAATGATAAAAGTTGGGATCTTTTACAAAAGAAGGTGTTTCACAGTGATGGCTGCCCTTCAAAATTCTCAAACATTGGGGAAAAAATGGCAAGAAATTGCAAAGGACTACCTCTGGCAATTGCTGTTGTTGCAGGTCTCCTTGAAATAAAAAAGAATGATATACATTGGTGGAAGCAAATTGAGAAAAATTCAAATTCTCGCATTAGTACTGAAGGCTGTATGGCCATTCTGGAACTCAGCTACAATTATCTACCGGATACATTAAAAGCTTGCTTTCTTTATTTTGCAGCATATAGGCAAGGTGAAGTAATTGCTGTGCGGAAGCTGATGCTATTATGGATTGCTGAAGGACTTCTGCAACCTGAGAAGAGGAGCTTAGAAGCAGTGGCAAAGGAGTCTTTTTTGGAGCTAATCGATAGAAGCCTAGTGATTGCTACTAGCAGAAGTTCCAAAGGTGGGATAAAAGCTTGTCGTGTTCATGATCTATTGCACTATTTCTGCAGGGAAAAAGCTAAAGAAGAAAGTTTTTTACATGTTGTGGAAAGGACCGAGGTATCTCAATGTTTCTCAAGTCCCATAAGGTTTGACCAATACAGATTGTGCTTGTATTCTGAATGGGAAACTTTGATCAAATCAAAGCCTTCTAATCCAAATGTCTCCTCTCTAATGCTATTTGCTGATACTAAAGAATCAACCCATAATTCTGTTGCCTCCCAAATTTTTCAGAGTTTTAAACTTCTTAAAGTACTGAATTTGGAGAGCATCAATTTGGATTGCCCTTTTCCTGAGGAAATAGTATTAATAGTACATTTGAGATACCTAGCAATTCGGGGTAATATTATGACTGTTCCATCATGTATATCCAACCTCTGGAACCTAGAAACCTTTGTTCTTCAAGGTTCATATGATTTTGTTCAACTACCGGATACCATATGCAAAATGAAAAGTTTAAAACATGTGTTTGTCAGTGAAAGGGCTGTTGTCTCTCTTGGTGATATGGAGCTTGAGGAATCCTCTCAATTAAATAATGTGGAGACATTTTCTTCCTTGTCTGTTGATCAACGAGCAGATTCATGGATGCTATTGAGAAGGTTCCCTAAACTTCGGAAACTGAGATGTGTATTCACAGAATCAGAGAACTATACTGGGAAGGGTATTCAATTTCCCCTATTGGCTTTGTTAAAAGATCTGGAATCACTAAAAATGTCTACTTATGGCTCTGGGCAACTGTTCTATAGCTGGATGCGTGTACAGTTTCAGGGATTTAACTTGCCCTCAACTCTTAAGAAACTCACCTTGCATAAGTTTGGCCTACCGTGGAGAGCAGTATCAGAATTGGGAAAGCTTCCCTGTCTTGAGGTTTTGAAATTAAGAGAACAAGCCTTTCCAGGACAAAGGTGGGAAGTGGACGATGAGCAGTTCTTGAACCTGAAATTCTTAGAATTATCCAGTTCAGAAATTGAAGAATGGAATGTCTCCGCTGAATCATTTACCTGCCTTCAGCAGCTTGTCGTAGGAGATTTTTCCAGACTTAAGGAGATCCCTTCAATTTTTGGCCAAATTTCTACCTTGACAATCATTCGCTTACATGGCTGCAGCAACCAAGTCGAGTTCTGCCTTGCAAATCCTCAAAGATCAACAGGATATGGGAAACGAGGAACTTGAAGTACTAACCACATACTCCACATACTGATGGAAGTTCTTGGACGTAAGTTTACAGCACTTGTATACTTTTCTTCTAATCAGTCATGATAATAGCTTCTACCACTGAAAAAAGATCATATGGTTTCTTTGATTAAATTGAATTTGAGTTCTCACTTTTACTTTCCCTGAGGGGACCTGAAGCAGGATATCATTTACCATCACATCATAGGATTGTTGTTACTATATAGTTTCAGATGATGGATTTTTCACTAGAATATTGGCTAATAAAAGATTTCATTTCGGTATAGTTCTTCTTCGCTTATTCACTTGCTAGTAAATGTAGATCCCTGTTCATTCCTTCTCATGCTCAAATATTCATAGCTTCTAGTTTCACTGATATGAATAAAGTTGGGTTTTTGCTCTA